CCGATCACGGCGTTGAGCGGCGTGCGCAGCTCGTGGCTCATGGAGGCGAGGAAGTGGGACTTGGCGGCGTTGGCGTTCTCCGCCTGCTCCTTGGCCTGGCGGAAGGCGCGCACGGCCTGCTCGCGCTTGCCCGTCTCGGTCCGGAACTTCTCCAGCACCAGGTTGTACTGGGCGGCGATCTCGCCGGCCTCGCTGCCCTCGTCGACCGGCACGTTGCGCGCGAAGTCGCCCGAGGTGGACTGGCGGTTCATCTCCTCCAGCAGGGTGGTCAGCGCCGAGCTGGCGCCGTGTTCGGCGATGTTGAGGCCGACCAGCTCGTCGTGGCGCGAGGCCCGCAGCGGCCGCAGGCGGTCGGCCAGCCGGAGCAGCGGATAGGCCAGGCCGAAGGCGAGCAGACCGGCCGCCGCCGCGCCAAGGGCCTGCACCGCGAGTTGCTCCAGGCGCGTCGCGCCGGCGAAGTCGGCCGGGTCGCCGAACAGCGCCACCGCCAGGGTGCCCCAGACGCCGGCCGCCAGATGCACCGGCACGGCGTGCACGGCATCGTCGATCTCCAGCCGGTCGAGCAGCGCCACGGCGGCCAGGCAGAGGCCGCCGCCCAGCGCGCCGACCAGCAGCGCCTCGCCGGCCGACAGGGTGTGGGCGCCGGCCGTGACCGCCACCAGGCCGGCCAGGATGCCGTCCATCATGTCCTGCACCGAGGGCCGGCCGCGCCAGCGCCAGGACCAGACCATGGCCAGCAGACAACCGCCGACCGGCCCCAGCAGGGTGTTGACGGCGATGCCGGCGATCGCCGGCTCCAACGCCAGGGTCGAGCCGCCGTTGAAACCGAACCAGCCGACCCAGAGCAGCAGCACGCCGAGCATGGCCAGCGGCAGGTTGTGCCCTTCCAGGCAGCGGCCGCCGGGCCCGAAGCGGCCGAGGCGCGGGCCGATCGCCAGGACCGCGGCCAGCGCCACCCAGCCGCCGACCGAGTGCACCACCGTCGCGCCGGCGAAATCGACGAAGCCCGCCGCGGCCAGCCAGCCCGCGCCGCCGCCGAGCAGCCCGCCCCAGGCCCAATGGCCGAAGAGCGGGTAGATCACGCCGGCAACCAGGGCGGCCACCACCAGATAGCCGGCAAAGCGCATGCGCTCGGCGACGGCGCCGGAGACGATGGTCACGGCGGTGCCGCAGAACACGAGCTGGAAGAAGAAGAAGGCGAGCAGCCAGGCGCCCGCCGCCCGGTCGGGCGCGAAACCCGCCGTCCCGATCCAGCCGCCCAGGCTGGGTCCGAACATGACGGCGAAGCCGAACAGCCAGAACAGCAGGCCGGTCAGGGAGATGTCGACGACGTTCTTGACCACCACGTTGATGGTGTTCTTGGCGCGGACGAGGCCGCTTTCCAGGCAGGCAAAGCCCGCCTGCATCATCAGCACCAGCACGGCGCAGATGATCAGCCAGAGGATGTCCTGGATGTCGCCCGCGATGGTCCCGGCGCCGTCGATCGTCCACTCCCTGCGGTCTTGGGACGGGTCGCGTCGCCCCGACGCGTCCCTCCCGTCGCGTCCCCTCCTCCGGCACGTTTCCCGGGCGCGTTTCCCGGGCGCCAATGCGTTTAGAGCGACGCTCGCCGACCTGGCGACTCGCCAAGACGGGTCACGCAGCTCGGGCGCCGCTATCGAGCCGGTTGTGATCGCAGGGCCCCGCTCCCGCGGGTCCGCCGATCACACGACACCTGCTCTCCATCGTCGAGTCAGAGTGATTGGCCGCGCCCGCCGACGCGCCAACGCGCGTCCAAACGGCGGCAAATCACTCTAGCGGACCGACGGTCCGATGGAAAGATGCAAGCATTTGTTCGCCCATAAAACGATCCCGGCGCCAGGGCGCACCCAAAGGCTGGCGCCTCGGCGCAGGGTAGCTGTCCGTTTATTAAGACAAGTCTAAGCCCCCTATCGCCCCCCCCCCTGTCGCACCACCCTGTCGCACCACCCTGTCGCGCGCCGCGCCCAGGAACCGCCCCGTGCGCGGCCCCCCGGGTCGGGCGGGGGCGCCGGGTCGGGCGGGGGCGCCGGGGCGCGCCTTCCAGCCGCGGCAGCGCGCTTTAAAGCTTTGAATTTCGTCCGGATTCCCATGCCACCCCGGGTCACGGCACGATTCCCACCGGTCGCGATCCGCTCTAGGATCGGCGGCCATGCGCAGGCCACAGACTCACCGCTGCCGAGCTGCCGGCCGCTGCCCGGCGGCGCCCGGCGCCGCGCGAGCGGGCTGGCGGCGATGAGCGTGATCCACTGGCTGCTCGGGCACTGGGCGCCGGTCTCCGCCCTGCTCTACCTGGCGCTGGCGATCGCCGTGTCGGTGCATGTCCTGCTGGCCAAGCGCGACGTGCGCGCCACCGTCGCCTGGGTCGGCCTGGCCTGGCTCTCGCCGGTGATCGGTGCCGTCGCCTATCTACTGTTCGGCATCAACCGCATCAACCGCAAGGCCTCGCGGCTGCTGCCGACGGCCCCGGACGGCACGGCCCAGCGCCGGGGCTACACCCTGGACCTGGACCATCTCGACGCCTCGGCGCCGGGCGGCCGCCTGGTCGCGCTGGCGCGCCTGGGCGAGAACCTCAGCCACCTGCCGATCGTCGGCGGCAACCGGGTCGAGCCCCGGGCCAACGGCGACGACGCCTACCCGGACATGCTGGCGGCGATCCGCGACGCCCGCCACTCGATCGCGCTTTCCTCCTACATCTTCCGCGACGACGCGGCCGGCGCCCCCTTCGTCGCGGCGCTGGCCGAAGCCCAGGCGCGCGGCGTGGCCGTGCGGGTCCTGCTGGACGGCATGGGCGCCGGCTACCTGCTGGCCCCAGGCGTCGCCGCGCTGCGCCGGCGCGGCGTGCCCACCGCGCGTTTCCTGCACTCCCTGGCGCCCTGGCGGATGCCCTACCTGAATCTCCGCTCGCATCGGAAGATCCTGGTGGTCGACGGCCGCATCGGCTTCACCGGCGGGCTCAACATCGGGTCCGAGAACCTGCTGGCGCGCGCCGGGCCGGACGGCGTGCAGGACCTGCATTTCCGCATCGAGGGGCCGGTGGTGCGCCACCTGATGGACTGCTTCGCCGAGGACTGGGCCTTCACCACCGGCGAGCAGCTCGCGGGCGAGCGCTGGTTTCCGGAGCTGGCGGGACGCGGCGCGATCTACGCCCGGGGCCTGGCCAGCGGGCCCGACGAGTCGGTGGGACGCCTGGCCTGGACCATCGCCGGCGCCCTGGGCCGGGCCGAGCGCTCGGTGCGCATCGTCACGCCCTACTTCCTGCCGGAGCAGACGCTGATGGCCGCGCTGACCCTGGCCGCCCTGCGCGGGGTCGCCGTGGACATCGTGATCCCGGCCCGGGGCAACCACCGCGTCATGGACTGGGCCGCCTGGGCGCAGCACGACCAGGTGCTGGAGCCGGGCTGCCGCCTCCACCTGGCGCCGCCGCCCTTCGACCACAGCAAGCTAATGACCGTCGACGGCCGCTGGGCGCTGTTCGGCTCGGCCAACTGGGACGCGCGCAGCCTGCGCCTCAACTTCGAGTTCAACGTGGAGTGCTACAGCCCGGAGTTGGCCGGCGCGCTGGACGCGCGCATCGACAAGAAGATCGCCGCCGCCCGGCCGCTCAGCCTGGCCGAGGTGCGCGCCCGCCCGCTGCCGGTGCAGATCCGCGACGGGGTGGCGCGCCTGCTGCTGCCCTATCTGTAGGCCCGCGGCCGCGCCCTGCCTCAGGCGTCGCCGGGCGAGACCCAGGGGATCGCCGCGATCTCGATGCCCTCGTCCTGCAGGGCCTCGGCCTCCTCGGCGCTGGTCTGGCCGTAGATGCCGCGCGCCGCGCGCTCGCCGTAGTGGATCTTGCGCGCCTCCTCCGCAAAGGCCGGGCCGACGTTCTCGCAGTTGGCCTCGACGGCGCGGCGCAGCTCCAGCAGCTTGGCGCGCAGCTTGGCCTGCGCCGGCGACGGCTTGGCGGCCGCGACTTGACGCGCCGGCGCCTCGGCCTGCTTGCCCAGGCGCGGCGCCATGATGGCTTTCGAGACCTCGGTCGATCCGCAGTGCGGACAGGCGAGCTGGCCCTCGTCGGCCTGGGCGTCGAAGGCGGCGGAGTCGCGGAACCAGCCCTCGAAGGCATGGTCGCGGCGGCAACGCAGGGCGTACTTGATCATCGCGGCGGGACCCGGTTCGGCAGGATCGGCTTGTCTTGGCACTCTCGAACGGAGATTGCTAAAGCATAGATATGACCGCGTCATCAATCGGCAACAGGCGAGGGAGGGCCACGCCCATGCCCGCACCACAGGACCCGCCCGCAGCAGCAGGCGCCCCCGCCGCCCACGGCCAAGCCGCGCCGGACGACGCCGGCCCGGCCGGGCCCACGCCGCCCTCCGCCTGGATCTGCCGCTTCGCGCCGCTGATCCCGCGCGGCCCGGCGGACGAGGCCGCCCCCGCCCGGGTGCTCGACCTGGCCTGCGGCGGCGGGCGTCACACCCGCCTGTTCCTCGGCCGCGGCCAGGCGGTCACGGCGGTCGACCGCGACCTCTCGGGACTGGCCGACCTGGCCGCGCACCCCGGCCTGGAGCGGCTGGAGGTCGACCTGGAGGACGGGCGTCCCTTCCCGCTGGCCGGCCGCCGCTTCGCCGGCGTCGTGGTGACCAACTACCTGCACCGCCCGCTGCTGGCGCCGCTGGTCGCGGCGGTGGCCCCCGGCGGGCTGCTGCTCTACGAGACCTTCGCGGCCGGCAACGCAGCCTTCGGCCGGCCGCGCAACCCCGACTTCCTGCTGCAGCCCGGCGAGCTGCTGGAGGCCGTGCACGGCCGGCTGCGCGTGCTCGCCTACGAGGACCTGGAGGTCGCCGCCCCGCGGCCCGCCTGCGTGCAGCGCATCGCCGCCCGGCGGGAGCCCTGACGCGCGGCCAGACGGTCACGACGCACTCTATGGCTCACTCTATGGCGCCAGCCAGCGGCGCATGGCCGGAAAGGGGCTGGGATCGGCCGGGTCGCCGAAAGGCGGCGGCGCGGCGCAGTAGCCGAAGCGGGCCAGCCACTGGATGCCGATAAAGAAGCCCTGCTCGATCTGCGCCACCAGGGCGTCGGGTGTCTGGCCCGCGGGCATGCGGTAGGTGCCCGGCCAGAACAGACAGTCGAGCGGCGTGCCCAGCCGCCGCGCGGCGGCGTAGGACCAGGCGATCGCCATCACCTCGGTGTGCGCCAGGGCCTCGCGCTCGGCGGCGGCCGGCGGCGCCAGGCCGCCCGGCGCCGCGCCGGCCAGCAGCTCCGCGATCACCGCATCCACGTCGTCGTCGAGCCGGGCGCGGAAGCGCGCCGGCACCAGCGCGATATGCCCGGCCTCGTGCAGCAGATCACCGGGCGAGCCCAGGCGCTGCGCGTCGTAGAGCAGCGCGCCGCCCTGCAGCGCCACGCCGGGCAGGAAGCTGTCGGCCGGCACCGGACCCGGGCGGCAGGACAGGCCGAGCGCGTCGAGAAACCCGCGGATCGGCGCGAGCTGTTCGGCAAACAGCACCGCCCCGCCCGCTATTCGCCCGCCTGGCGCAAGGACGCGGCGGGCGAGGACGCGGTGGGCTGGGACGCGGTGGGCTGGGACGCGGTGGGCTGGGGCGCGGCGAAGGCCCGGTCATGGGTCAGCGCCGGCACCATGCGCCGCGCCTCGGCCACCTTGGCCGGGTCGATCTCGGCCAGCACCAGGCCCGGCGTCTCGCCGCCGTCGGCCAGCACCTCGCCCCAGGGCGCCACGATCAGGCTGTGGCCGTAGGTGCGCCGGCCGCCGGCGTGCTCGCCGCACTGGGCTGGCGCGATCACGAAGCAGCCGGTCTCGATCGCCCGCGCGCGCAGCAGCACGTGCCAGTGGGCCTGGCCGGTGAACTGGGTGAAGGCCGCCGGCACCGACAGGAAGCTGGCACCCGCCTGGGCCAGGCTGCGGTAGAGCGCGGGGAAGCGCAGGTCGTAGCAGACCGTCATCCCCAGCCCGCCCCAGGGCAGACTGGCCAGCACCGCCTCTGCGCCCGGCCGGAAGGTAGCGGATTCCCGGTAGCTCTGGCCGTCCGGAATCTCCACGTCGAACATGTGGATCTTGTCGTAGCGCGCCACGATCGCGCCGTCCGGGCCGAACAGCAGCGAGCGGTTGGCGCAGGTCTCGGCGTCCAACTTGACGGTCAGCGAGCCGATCAGCAGCCACAGCCCGTGGCGCGCGGCCAGCTCGGCGAAGACCGGGATCGCCGGATGCGTCGCCTCCGGCTGCGCGGCGGCCAGCATGCGCGCTTTCTTCGGCGCGATCAGCGTGCAGTTCTCGGGCGTGGCGACGAAGGCCGCCCCCGCGTCCGCCGCCTGCTCGATCAGCGCGCTGGCGGCGGCGATGTTGGCCTCCAGCGCGTCGCCGGAGGTCATCTGCACGCAGGCGGCGCGGAACGGGCCGGTCATGCCGGCTGGCCCTGCAGCAACGGGTCGAGCCGCCCCTCGGCCTCGAGCTGGTAGAGCTCGTCGCAGCCGCCGACATGGTGCCCGTCGATGAAGATCTGCGGGACCGAGGTGCGGCCGCCCGCGCGCTCGATCATCTCCTTCTTGCGCGCCGGATGCGCCAGCACGTCAATCTCCTCGAACTCCTGGTCCTTCTGCTTCAGCAGCTTCTTGGCGCGGAAGCAGAAGGGGCAGAAGAGGCTGGAATAGACCTCGATCTTGGCCATGGGTCCTCCGATCTGGGAAGCCTCCATGATAGGGGAGACGCCCCGGCCTTGTCAGCGGCGCTGCCGGTTAAAGCTCTGTTGCAGGCCGCCGCCGGCAGCTCAGACCTGCAGCGGGCGCACCACCCGGGCCAGCACCAGCACCTCGACGCGGGCCGCCCCGGCCCGCCGCAGCACGCGCGCGCAAGCCTCCAGCGTGGCGCCGGTGGTCAGCACGTCGTCGACCAGCAGCACCCGCGCGCCCTTGACCCGCGCCGCCCGGCGCGGCGCCAGCGCGAAGGCGCCACGTACGTTGAGCGCGCGCTGGGCGCGGCTCAACCGGCCCTGGCTGGGGGTGTTGCGCCGACGCTGCAGCAGATCGGGTACCACCGGGCGGCCGCTCAGGCGGCCGAGCTCCAGCGCCAGCAGCGCCGCCTGGTTGTAGCGGCGGCGGAACAGCCGCCAGCGGTGCAGCGGCACCGGCACGATCAGGTCGCAGGCCTCGAACTGGGCCGCGCCGGCGCGCAGCATCCAGCGTGCGAAGGCCGGCGCCGCCTCGGTCCGGTCGGCGTGCTTGAAGCGCAGGACCAGCGGACGCGCCCCCTCGTCGTAGCGCATCACCGCCCGCGCCCGGTCGTAGGCGGGCGGCGCCTTGGCGCAGGCGCCGCAGAGCGCCTCCGGCCCCAGCTCCACCTCGAAGGGCACGCCGCAGCAGGCGCAGAGCGGCGGCGCGATGAAGTCGACCGCCTGCCAGGCCGCCGGACTGAGCTGGCCGGGCCGGTCGACCGGCTCGTGCGTGACCAGGCAGCGCGGCGGCAGCAGCGCATCCAGCACCAGCCGGCCGAACCCGGCGCCGCCGGCCGCCGCCCGCGCCAGAAGAGGCTGCGCCCGCGCGGGCAGCAGCGCGCTCAGACGCCCCCCAAGGCGCGCAGCCTGCCCCGCCCCGCTCATACCTGGAGCCCGGTCATGCTGGGGCCCCGGTCATGCTTGGCTTGTCCCCCGGCCTGGGCCATATGGGCGGGCATGAGCGATGCCAGCCTCCCCGACTCCATGCAGGTCTTCGACCGCGCCGCCGTGCGGGCCCACCGCGAACGGGCCGCCGCGCGCTGGCCGGAGCACGACTTCCTCAAGCGCGAGGTGAGCGCGCGGCTGCTCGACCGCCTGCGCGACGTCACCCGCGACTTCGCCCTGGCCCTCGACCTCGGCTGCCACGGCGGCACGGTGGCCGAGCTGCTGCCCGACCTGGGCAAGGTCGGCGGGCTGGTGCAGTGCGACCTCTCGCCGGCCATGGCGCGGCGCGCCGCGGCTCACGGCCGGCCGACCCTGGTGGCCGACGAGGAGGCGCTGCCTTTCGCGCCGCGCAGCTTCGACCTGGCGCTGTCGGTGCTGGACCTGCACTGGGTCAACGACCTGCCGGGCACGCTGCTGCAGCTTCGCCAGGCCCTGGCGCCGGACGGTCTGTTCCTCGGCGCGCTGCTGGGCGGCGAGAGCCTGCACGAGCTGCGGGTGGCGCTGATGGAGGCGGAGATGGAGCTGACCGGCGGCCTGTCGCCGCGCGTCAGCCCCTTTGCCGAGGTGCGCGACTGCGGCGGCCTGCTGCAGCGCGCCGGCTTCGCCCTGCCGGTGGTGGACCAGGACGAGATCACCGTGACCTACGCCGACCCGCTGGCGCTGATGCGCGAGCTGCGCGGCATGGCCGAGAGCAACGCGGTGCGCGAGCGCCCGCGCGGCGGCGCCCGCCGGGCGCTCTTCGCCCGCATGGCGGAGATCTACGCCGCACGCTTCGCCCAGCCCGACGGGCGCATCCCGTTGACCTTCCAGGTGCTCTACCTGACCGCCTGGGCGCCGGACGCCAGTCAGCCCCAGCCGCTGCGCCCGGGCAGCGCCAAGACACGACTGGCCGAGGCCCTGGAGACGGTGGAGCACCCGGCCGGCGACCCGGCAGGGCCAGGGCCGGGCTCGGGGCCAGACACGGGACCGGGCTCGGGGCCAGACACGGGGCCAGACTCGGGACCGGGCACGGGGCCGGGCACGGGACCGGGCGGCGGCGCGTCGCGCTCCTGAGTCGCGGCCCATCGCGCGCGAAGCCCGTCAGGCCGTGCGCCGGGCGGCGCGATGCCCCTGCTCGGTCGCGGCCTGGCGGAAGTAGACGAGCAGGAAGACGCGCACCGCCGCGGTCAGCGAACTGCCGCGCCGGCGCTTGCGGTCGATCTCGCTGCAGAGCTCCGAGGCGCTGACGCCCTCGCGCCGGCAGACCTCGCCCAGCGCCTCCCACATGCTCGGCTCCAGGCGCAGCGAGGTGCGCCGGCCCGAGACCGTCACGTTCCGGCTGACCGAGCTGCTGCCGGCCCGGTGCGGGTCCAGCACCTCGACGGGGTACTCCTGCATGCGCATCCCACTGTCCGCCGCCATTTCGAGAAGAGCAGACTCGCGCGCTCGCCAAAGACGAGCAAGAGACCCGAAGTTGCATCCTTCCGCGTGAATATCGCCTGACGCGCAAAGCCCCGCCTCGCCGCCGGGCAAAGGGCCGAGGTCAAAGGGCAGAGGTCAAAGGGCAGAGGTCAAAGGGCAGAGGGCCGAGCGACGATCGCAGCGCCCGGCGCGCGGCCGCGCTACAGCAGGCCGCGCTACAGCAGGTCGCGCAGCAAGGGGATCAGCGGCAGGTCGGCCGGCGGCATGGGGTAGTCGGCCAGGCGGGCCGGCGCCACCCAGGCCAGGCGCTGCCCCTCGCGCGGCTGCGGCCGCCCCTCCCAGACCCGGCAGGCGAAGAGCGGCATCAGCAGGTGGAACGCGTCGTAGCCGTGACTGGCGAAGGCGACCGGCGCCAGGCAGGAGTTGCGCGTCTCGATCGCCAGCTCCTCGGCCAGCTCGCGCACCAGCGCCGCCTCCGGCGTCTCCCCGGCCTGGACCTTGCCGCCGGGGAACTCCCACAGGCCGGCCATGGCCTTGCCGGCCGGGCGCTCGGCGATCAGCACGCGCCCGTCGGGGTCGACCAGGGCGGCGGCCGCCACCAGCAGGATCGGCTTGCCGGCCGGCGCCCGGCCGGCGGCGTCCCAGCAACCGCCGGTGACGGGGGGCGCGTCCACGCTCGCTCAGCTCCGATAGTCGGCGTTGATGTCGATGTAGCCGTGGGTCAGGTCGCAGGTCCAGACCGTGGCGGCACCGTGGCCCAGGCCGATCTCCACCTCGATCAGGATGTCGCGGCCCTGCATGTGGGCGGCCACCGGCGCCTCGTCGTAGTCGGCCACGCGTTCGCCGTCGCGCGCGATGGTGACGCCGCCGATGGCGATGGCCAGGCGGTCGCGGTCGGCCGCCTCGCCGGACTTGCCGACCGCCATGACGATCCGGCCCCAGTTGGCGTCCTCGCCGGCCACTGCGGTCTTGACCAGCGGCGAGTTGGCGATCGCCAGGCCGATGCGCCGCGCCGCCGCGTCGTCCTCGGCGCCGCGCACGGCGACGGTGATGAACTTCTGCGCCCCCTCGCCGTCGCGCACGACGAGCTGGGCCAGCTCGATCATCAGCGAGTCCAGCGCCGCCGCGAACTCGGCCAGGCGCGGGTCGTCCGCCCCCTCGGCCGCCACCTGGCCGGCAGCGCCGGTGGCGAACAGCAGCGCGGTGTCGCTGGTCGAGGTGTCGCCGTCGACGGTGATGCAGTTGAAGGAGCGCCGGTTGGCGCGCGCCAGCAGCGCCTGCAGCACCTCGGCCGGCAGCCCCGCGTCGGTCACCACGAAGGCCAGCATGGTCGCCATGTCCGGCGCGATCATGCCGGAGCCCTTGGCGATGCCCACCAGCTCCACCGGCTTGCCGTCGAGCTGGCAGCGCCGCGCGGCGGCCTTGGGGAAGGTGTCGGTGGTCATGATGGCGCCGGCGGCGCGGGCCCAGTCGACCCCCTGTGCCTTGCTCTCGCCGAGCCGGGTCGCCGCCGCGCCGATGGCGGCGGTCATGCGCTCGTCCGGCAGCGGCTCGCCGATCACCCCGGTGGAGGCGAGGAAGACCTGCTCGGGCGGCACGCCCAGCGCCTCGGCCGCCGCGGCGGCGGCGCGCTCGACGCTGATCCGGCCGCGGGTGCCGGTGAAGGCGTTGGCGTTGCCGGCATTGACCAGCAGGGCCGCGGCCCGGCCGGCCGGCAGGTGCGCGCGGCACCAGTCGACCGGCGCGCTGGCCGTCTTGGAGCGGGTGAGCACGCCCGCCACCGCCGCCCCCTGCGGGAAGTGCAGCAGCAGCAGGTCGTCGCGCCCCTGGTAGCGCAGGCCGCCGGCGTGGGCGACACCGCGCACGCCGGCCACCTGCGACAACTCGGGCAGCCGCTCGGGCGCGAGCGGCGAACGGGCCAGGGCCATGACGCCTCTCCGCGCGGCGCTACTCGGCCGCGGGGACCGTCGCGCCGTCGGACGCGGAGGACTCCGCCGGCAGATCCTCGGGCGCGGCTTCGGGCTCGGGCTCGACCACCTCGATCTCGGCGCCCTCGCGCAGCTCGGCGAGATGGGCCTGGATCGCCTCCTGCTCAAGCTGCTGGCGGAGCTGCGGCTCCATCTCCTCGAAGCTGGGCGCCTCGGCGGTGCGCTTGTCCTCGACCAGGATGACGTGCCAGCCGAACTGGGTCTTCACCGGCTCGTCGGTGTAGGTGCCGGGCTCCAGCGCGAAGGCCGCCTCGGCGAAGGGCGCCACCATCTGGCCGCGCTTGAAGTAGCCCAGGTCGCCGCCCTTCTCGCCGGTCGGCCCGGTGGACTTCTCCTTGGCCAGCTCGGCGAAGTCGCCGCCCTCGTCGAGCTGCTCGACGATGGCCTGGGCCTCCTCCTCGCTCTCGACCAGGATGTGGCGGGCGCGCACCTCCTCCGGCGGGTTCTCCTCGACGTAGGTGTCGTAGGCCTCGCGGACCTGCGCGTCGGTGACGGCGCGCTCCACCAGGTTCTCCAGATAGGACTGGCGCAGCACGTCGCGGGCGATCACCTCGATCTGCTCCTGCACCTCGGCCTCGTCGCGCAGCCCGGCCTGGTCGGCCGCCCGCAGGATCAGCTCCAGGTCGATGGTGCGCTCGATCATCGCCGGCATGTTCGACAGCGCCTGGATCTGCACGTTCTGCGGCAGGCGGCCGATCATCTGCATCACGTCGGAGATGCGGATCTCCTCGCCGTTGACGCGGGCCACGACCTGGTTCCGCTCCGCGGACTCGGCGTCGGCGGACTCGGCGTCGGCGGACTGGGCCTGAACGGCCGGGGTCAGGGCGAGCGGGGCAGCCGTGGCGAGCAGGGTGGCCAGGGCGGGAGCCGCGGCGCGGCGGAGAAGGGACATACGAAACTCCCCGTTCGGGTCGGTTGGCGTTTCTGGGCCGGGCACGGCCTCGCGAACCTAGCGAGGAGACGAGCGCTCCCCGGCGGGCCGGCGGCACCATACAGCAGCCCAGTTGCGGCGCAAGTGTGGCAAATGCAAGGGGGAGCGCCCCAGCCGCCGCGGCGCGCCGCCGCCGCCTCGGGCGCCGTTCCCGCGCGGTCGCCGCGGGCCGCGGCGGCTTGCAGGCCGCCACCGGCGGACCGGGGGCTTTCGTTGACAGGGCTGGCGGCGACGCATATCTGTCAGCGGCGGGCAGCCGCGGGCGGCGCTGACGCGCGACGACGCGCGCCGTGGTCCGGGCGGCGGTCCGCTGTCTTGCGCGCAACCGAGGACCCCCGACCGAATGCTCCAATCGCTCGCCAAGCGGCTCTTCGGGTCCGCCAACGACCGCTTCGTCAAGTCGCTGCGCCGGGACGTCGAGCGGATCAACGCCCTCGAGCCCGAGTACGAGCAGCTCAGCGACGCCCAGCTCGCGGCCAAGACCGACGAGTTCCGCGCGCGTCTCGACCAGGGCGCCAAGCTGGACGACCTGATGGTCGAGGCTTTCGCCACGGTGCGCGAGGCGGCCAAGCGGACCCTGGGCCAGCGCCACTTCGACGTGCAGCTCATCGGCGGCATGGTGCTGCACAAGGGCCAG